GAAGAGGGCGAGGGCGCCTCTCGCGCGCCCATGCTCTGGGAGATGACGGCGGCCACCGCGTCGGCGACCGGCGTGTCCACGCCGAGCTTCCTGCGCGGGGTTGCGGCGGAAAGCTTTTTCGGGAGGTCAAGAGGTTGTCGCACGTTTTCGAAAAGTCTCGAGACCCAGGGACATTTCCATCAGCGGCGCCTCGTCAAGAGCGCTCCGGGGGTGCCGGAATGGTCGGGACCTTTTGCGTAGCGTGTCGCGGCGGCGGCCCTGGCGACACGCTACGTCCTGCGAGCTGGTAGCGTGCCGCTCCGCTCCGCGGGGCGAGAGCCCCTGGGGAAGCTCGGCACGTGGTCGCTCGGGGGCCTGGGGCGTGGATAGCGCGTCCTGCCGAAGCGCGGTGGGCCCGGCGGCGCGACACGCTGAGCACAGGATCCCCACCGGAAGACGCTCAGATGAAGGGCAACGCACGTGGCGGCACAGAGGGGCACTTTACTTACGCCAGTCCTTCAAACTACGCCAGTCCTTCAAATTAGCCTCTCGAGCCACCTTGGGTGGGTGCTTTGGATGGGGAGAAGGGCCATTAAAGTTATGTGTCCTGCATGCCCTTTGGGAGAGGGAACCGTGCAGTGGGATAGCAAGTGACGAGGGGTCGGTGGTCAACTGCACGACCGCACCTGAGGACGGGCTTCGACATTCGAGCTTCGAGATCTTCTGATGTTTTCCACTGTTTGTGGGCCCTGGGGCCACACGGCGTCGATCCAGGTGCAAACTGGCCAGCCAAGATGGGCCCCGGGCGGAGGAGGGTTCCACACCTTGCCGCCGTCCTCCTCCCTTTCAAGGCACGCGCCGGGCCAGCACCTGCGGCATTGGCACGTAGGCCCCAAGTCGATCGTGCGTTGCTCTCCGATCCGTCTTCCGATCCTTCTGCGAGGAGGAGTATGAGGAGGAGGCGGCGGAGGAGGAGGAGGAGGCAGGTTGGACGCTAGAGCTCCGTTGCTCAAGTCCGCTCAACGAAAAAAAAGGAGAAGGCAGGAGAAGGAGGGAGGAGGAGCACGGGGAGTCCGACAGGGAGCCTCCTCCTGACAGGTTAATCGCACTTTGGTCCCCTCCGTCCCGTCGCTGTTCTCTCCTCCCCCCTCCAGGGGCCGCTGGGGGACATAGTTGCCCCGCCCCCTGCAGCGCCACCAATCATTCTAGATGGTCTTACTACACATATTTTCCTAGTTTGATCACCTCCCCGCCCAAGGGCAACACCCCTGGTGGGGGACGGCAGCATTCAATCGTGGACCCCAGATGCCGACGGCGACAGCGACACGAGGGGGGGGAGAGCAGACTTCCAACGCCGATGGCAGACTTGCGGGGGTCCACGCTGTGAAGTGATCAGGAGGTCGGAGCTCTGGGGAGGACAGACTTCGAGCTTCGACCTGTGAGGCTTCCATGCGCTTTTCGCTCTTTTTCGGCCTGCAGGGGAGCCCTCGTCGCCCCGACCTGATCAGCCTCGAAACTCTGACCAGAACGCACCCCTGAAGAGGTCCGGGGGTCGATCCTCAGTGCGGGATGCAGAGGAGGGAGAGGAGATGGGAGGAGGGGGACGAGGGGGGAGGGCGGATGCAATCACGGGCTCATGAAGACAAAGAAGGGCGCCGAACGCATGCAATACAGTCATCTGCGACAGTTGTGACAAGAGTCGCCTAGCCCTGGCAGCGGAGACGCGGCGAAGCCAACTGGATCCAGATTTTGCGCACTTCTCACCAGCCTCATTGTACGAATCTGAAAGAAAGGATTGATTGCGATGACCAGGAGGAGGAGGAGGCGGAGGAGGGGAAGGACACGCATGGGCAACGCAAAAAGAGAAGGAGAAAGAGGGCTACCAGGATAAGGAAGAGGGCGAGGAGGAGGACAGGAAGAAGGATGAGGATAAGATGGAGCAGGACGAGGAGGATGACGCGGAGGAGCACGAGGGCAAGAGGAAGAGAATGAGGAGGGGGAGGCGGGAGGAGGGAAGCAAGACGAGGGAGGACAAGCAAGATAAGAAAAACAGAAAATGCATAACACAACCCATATCCCACCACCAGGTCGTTTCTTTTAAGAACGTGGGCCCGTGAAAACATCGGCCTGTTCCCGAAGACCGATTCGTCATACCGAGCCGACTTACAGACGACGACGGAGCGGGTCCTGGCCAGTTTGACGGCCGCGGGTGCCGTCGCCACACCCTCGGCCACGCCTGCGAGGGACTGCGACCGATTCTGCAGGACGGTGTCCAGCGTCTCGCCTGCGCCCAGGGGGGTTGGGCGTTTCCAGCAGGCGGAGCGGGGGCGCTCGGGGCGAGGACGAGGGTACAGTCGGGGGGCCGAAGAAGGAACCATTTTCGTTGGGGAGGGGATTGGCGTTCCGTAATCGTTTCACAGCTTGCCTAAGGTTTTCCTCAATCTTTCGATGGTGCATCGGAGTTTAACTTATGCATAATAAAAGGGCCTCGTTCCTTATTTGGGGGTTCCCTAGGTCAGGAAGAGGAGGAGGAGGAGGAGGAGGAGGAGGAGGAGGAGGAGGAGGAGGAGGAGGAGGAGGAGGAGGAGGAGGAGGAGGAGGAGGAGGAGGAGGAGGAGGAGGGGGGAAGACCCCTCGCATCGTGGAACAATCCCGACGCACGGCTTTTCGCAACTCTCGGCCTCTATGGGGCCCTCGCCGCGCCCCGCGACCGTCAAGAAACGACCCGGGAGGAACAACCGGTCCCGGGGAACGGGTCGAGACCTCCGGGGGTCGGCGCTGCGATCGAACAATCATGACGTCGGGGGTCTGGGGATGTCTTTTGCCGCGCGGCCCCCACGCGCCAGGGGCGCGGAAATCCTCATCCAGTAGATTCTGACGAGGCGTGGGAATCCTGATCCAATAGATTCAGCCAGCATCGAATCGGGAAGTCGGATCGAATCGGAATGTAAACCGGATCGGGCCGCATCGGCACGGAGTCGGAACCGAATCGGATCGGCCGCGCCAGGACGCACAATAGCGCCATGCAAGCGTCAGGCCGAATCTGATCGAAAGAACATCGGAATCGAATCGGATCGGCCGCGGCAGAACGCACAACAAAGCCCTGCAAGCGTCTGGCGGAATCGGATCGAAATAGCATCGAAATCGGATCGGATCGGGCTGATTGGAATCAGTGCTTCTCGAGCCCGATCGATCGGACCGAAGTGGACCCTGGAAGGGCCTCGATGAAGCAATGGCGTTGCAGAGGCGCGCGACGACACGCCGCCACCCGCGCAAGCACTGCTGTCGAGTGCCGCGCAGCACTGGACGACCCGATCTCAACAGGCGGGGAAATGAATAGGGGGAGGGAGAAGGAGGAGGAGGAGGAGGAGGAGGAGGAGGAGGTGGAGGAGGGGCAGCAGGAGGAGGAGGAGGAGGAGGAGGAGGAGGAGGAGGAGGAGGAGGGAGGATGAGGAAGAGGAGCAGGATAAGGAGGAGAAAGAGAAGGAGGCGCAGCAGGAGGAGGGAGGATGAGGAAGAGGAGCAGCAGGAGGAGGAGGAGGAGCAGGTGTTACAAAGTCGTTTCCTCCCTTGCGTCCTGTTGCTTTCTGGCCTCAGAGGCCCGTCCTTCCACACTTGCCCGATTTCGATCGTTGCCCCGATTCGGGCTGCAGCACAGAGCGTGCAAAGGAGCAGGAGGAGGAGGAGGAGGAGGAGGAGGAGGAGATGCAGGAGGAACTTCGAACCTCGGGCTTCGAGGATCGAGGGCCAGTGTCTCGCCTGCGGGGGTCGGGCACTCCAAGGGGGGGGTCCCTGAGTGAGGGCGATTTCCGAACTTCGAGGATCACTTTGTCGTGGCTTTGTCGCCATTTTTGGATTTCCAGGGGGCTTCTCGTCGCCACGGGTCTCAGGAGGCCTCCAGGAAGCACTCCCAGGGGGGACTCCGAGCGAGAACAGGGGGATGACCGAGAAGGAAGAATGATTCAGGAGGGCGTTCGGATTTATGTTTCATCACTTTCGGCCTCCACCAACCCGCTTCGGGCCCCAGGACCACGTGTGGAAAACTTGCCAGTGTGGGCCCCAAGCGGAGTGGACCTGGGGGCCAATATAGAACGGGCTAAAGTTGGGCATGGAAGAATTTTGAACTTCGGGGCTATGTGTTTTTTAGTGATTGGGGGGAATCCTCACTGGATCCACCTCAGAAACTGGCCAGAACGCACCGGGACGAGGAAAGGGAGGGAGGAGAAGGAGGAGGAGGAGAAGGAGGAGGAGAAGGAGGAGGAGGAGAAGGAGAAGGAGGTGGGGGAAGAGGAGGGAGATGGAGAAGAGGGAGGTGAGGGATTGGAGGATCGAATTTCGAGGATCTCGGGTGTCTTTCCTCCCGGATGGGCGGCCTCCTGGAGACTCCCCGTCGCCGCAACTGGATCCGCCCCGACATTCTGGCCAGAGCGCACCCCAGGAGATGTCCGGGGGCCGATTCTTGAGGGGACGGGAAGGAGGATGAGGATGAGGGAGAGGAGGTTGAGGACGAGAAGGACGAGGAAGAGCCAAGACGTTATGTCTGGGAGGAATGTTCCCATAAGCACGGCACGATCATAGTGCTCCGCTGAAGCAGCAAATGAGAAATTAAGGTGCTCTTGTGGCCACGACGGACGAGAAGGACAAGGAGGAGCCATGACATTCTGTCTTGGAGGGATACTCCCAGAGGCACGGTGCAATCTCATAGTGCTCCGCTGAAGCAGAACATCAGGAACGAAGGCGCTTTTGTGGCCACGACGGACAAGAAGGACGAGAAGGAGCCATGGCGTGATGCCTGGGAGGGATACTCCCAGAGGCACGGTGCAATCTCATAGTGCTCCGCTGAAGCAGAACATCAGGAACGAAGGCGCTTTTGAGGCCACGACGGACGAGAAGGACGAGAAGGACGAGAAGGAGCCATGGCGTGATGCCTGGGAGGGATATCTCCCAGAAGCACGGTGCAATCTCGTAGTGCCCCGCCGAAGCAGCACATAACAAAACGAAGGTGCTCCCGTGGCCACGAC